GCTTCTAAAAAACATTTATTACTGAAGGTGGATGATGAAAAAACTGAATCCAGCTTAAAGAAAAAGCTAACATTTTCATAGCATGCATTTATTTTACCATCACCACAAAGTTAAACTTTTTATCTTTCATTGAGAACCATGCAATTATAATCTGTCTCAGGAAAAAATAAATCCGACCAAACAGCATTGTTTGTGCGTCTATATTTTTGCTATGCATATTTGATACTTACCCTTTGCAGATTGGCTGTTGTGGCTCTGAGGTAAATGTCCGTTCAGGAAAGACAGACGTGTAGTGGACCTCAAACAGTCCACCGAGAAACACATCACCAGGCTTGTGCATTTCATTCAAATGAAACCTTCTCTGCAATTTACAAGCTGGGGGAAGAGAAGAGGACACTTGATCTACACCAATAAAATAAAGACTCAACAATACATGTGTGTAGAGAATAGCCCCCATAACTGCTCTCCTCCCATCACATCTATTTCTAATCTTCATGTAAAGTAGCTCTTTTTTATATGTGGGGTGGTGCCACCCCTCTTACACTGTTTGTTTAATCTTTAACTACACCCAAGAAAAAGGAGGCGCACACAATACACATGTTGAAATATTGTGAATGAGCATATATTTTCCTTCATATAAAAAAATACAAACACTTGGAAACAATAGCATTACCTCTAATCAAAAAGCGCACTGCCCATGAATACAGTTAAAAAATACTTACAACACAATTAAATATATTTGCTATAGGTAAATAAAATGGGACCAGTAATACTTGGTGATACAAAATGTGTGGAACCTGAGACTTAGAACATTTTGAGGTTGGAATTTTTTATTCAACCTTGGACACCCAAGCCTGCTAAAAGTTTCCTTGTGACTCCAAATACTTTTTCTCATGCAAATGCACCAATCACAGATGTTAGAATTTAACATCAGAAGTGACCATTAAGGCCACTTATGAAAATGAAACCCAACTGCAACGGTTGTGATTGAATGCCGATTGAGAGATCAATCCATTAAATTGGTAATTTAATTTTTTTCTGTGAAATTAAGTGTTTACAGGTAAGAGTTTCTGCTAGAAAGTTTATCAGCAAATAAATACCAAATCATTTAAACAATACGATGATCCATCTGTGGTGTCAGTGGAATAAATAAATAATGAGGCTCTTAATCCGGAACAGGACAGATAGCTTCAGGACCATCATAGATAACAATAAGTTGGCGCAGAACTGAGCTTCGAAAGCTGAATGAAACATCAGTCCTCCACATTTGATGACAGTCAAAATGAAACACACTCAGATTAAATCATGATTATACTTTTATTAGGCACAAGGCACTATTTTCTAAACTCTGTGCTAAAGAAAAGAGCTACTCCTTCCACATTTGTAGCTGTATTCAAATGACCTGTGCTTCAGGGTATTTGCACCCTTTCATATATTGATTCTTGCCAGTACATTGTGTATCTCTATTCGAGTATCTATTTGAGTAGATGAAAATATAATTTAAATAAAAATCCAAACAATTTTTTGTTACCTCAAAAGATTTATTTTTATTGAAAAGATATTAGGTTCTTAATGTCTTGTAGAGAATGGGATGATATAAAAATCACATACTAATGAATAAGGGCAATATGCAAAAAATAATTTTAAAAAGCCTGGCATACCTCAGAATATACACTTGTTAACTAACTTGCTTTCATGATTTGTTTGTGCCTCGACCCATTATGGCTTTCTTGGTGTTCCTTTCAGGTCTCAGCAGGATTATGTAACATTTGGGTCCAAACAGCGCCAGTAGGAGACCAAAACTGGAGGTTAGGATGGCAAATACCTCCACTGCGTCAGCATATTTTCCTGGAGAGTTAATATAAGCAGGAACAAAAGCCACCCA